TGGGCTTATATATACAGATAAGCAAGTACTGGCCAACCACCCAACATCGTGGTGGTTGACATGAAGAGAAAGACTGCAGTGGTGGTGGATGTGGCAATACCCAGTGACCATCACATCAAAAAGGAGCAACATGAGAAGGTGGACAAATACCACGCAGTGAAAGAGGAGCTAGATAGGCTGTGGAGAGTAAGGCAATAGTAGTCCCAGTTGTGAAAGGCTTCGGCAAATTCCAGAAGATAGGACATTCTGAATTAAACAGAATGTGCAACAGAGCAACAGAGGAAGTTTAAATATTAGTTCTCTATACAGAAGATGTGTAGGGAGACTGTGTAGGTCACATGCAGGGGATGAGTGGCTAGGTCTGCAAAGACAGTGATTTAACTTCTAAATTGCAGATAACTGAGCAGTGAAACTTCAGGGGCACGATTTTTACACTATAACTGCTTAAAGTTGTTTTCCTATCACTATAGTTATCTATAGTGTTCCCCTCCCTCGTGCCCCCACCTCCGGTGGTGCCGAAGAGGTTTTAAAAACCCTTCCTCACTTACCTGATTCCAGCGTCGATGTCCCTTGGCACCGGCTCAGGTTCTGCCTCCACTCCTCCGCCTCTGACATTGGCCTGGGGTGGGGTCCTAATGCGCATGTGAGGCGAGTGCCGCACTCGCATTAGGACTTCCCACATAGGAACGCATTGTATAATGCTTTCCCATGGGGTTTTGAGTGACACTGGATGTCCTCATGCAAATCATGTGGACATCCAGCATCAGTTTGGCAATCAAAAGTCGCCTAACCAGCCTAAAGTTCCTTTAGTGGCTGTCTGATAGACAGCCATTTAAGATTGAGTTAACCCTACAAGGTAATTATTGCAGTTTATTAAAAACTGCATCTACCATTGCAGGCTTAAATGGCCTGGGAAAGTGCACCTAGATCACTTTAATGGGTTGAAGTGGTCTGGGTGCCTCTGTGGACGATAGTGTCCCTTTAATTAAACTAAAGTTATTTGCTTGCCTAGATTCTATTGTAGCTGTCTTACTTAGATACACCTTTAACTACTGTGCATTGTGCAGGCCAAATTCTTGTAAGTGCATAGTGAGTTGTATTTCCCAGGTAAACCTTCAACTCCCACCTTCACATCGATTTCAGCAATTGTACAATCCTCCTCCTAGCCCCCCTTATCTCTTTAAATCATATTTTAGAATGGTTGGCCATCTAACTAGGTACTATACCTTGCTGATTGCGTCTTTCACACTTTTCTTGACCACAATTCATTACACACTCAGTATCTTCCAAGTCATGGCTTAGATAAAAAAATATTTTGTAAAAAAGAAAATATTGGCTTTTCTTGTTTTGATATTAGTCTATATGTGTCCAAATAAAAGTTGTGCACAATCTCTGCTACAAGGATATAATTTTTAATTCATAACTCTAATCACTAAGATATATTTTTGGAATTGTTTTATTCCTATTCACATATTTGTGTCTGCATTCATTTTATAAAAATGTTTAGAAAAAAAACTGACATTAAAAGCAATGGACTTTGTCTAAAGAGTTATGGAAAATCCTTTCATGATGAAAACCTTTTAAAAGGAAAGCTTCTGTTATGCGAATATAAAGTGATAACTGGTTGTGTTTCCAGACTTTCCATGGGCAGAAAATTCCGTGAGAAAATACAGAAGTACACTTTTCATAGGCATTACAATCTGGACTAATAGAACAAAAAGTAATGTTGTCTTGCACCCACTGACAATGACATGTGAACATGTTCCTAGATAATTTATCATTATTGGTTCATAATAATCGTAATGTGTGAGTGTGTGTATGTATGTGTTGTTTTCTTTTAAATCAAACTCAGGCTATGTCCTTTTTGTTAAAAATAAACACTTTAAGAACATGAAAATATAATCGTAAGAACATAACATTAATGAGACAGCGGAGAGAGATTTATCAGTCCTCTCTAAGGTCATGCAATACTGCCCAACCAAAACTACTAACAAATTATCTATGAGTAGTAGGATAATTGTATCCACTTGAAAACTGTAAGGAAAACAAAAATACATAGAGACAAAACAAAGAGTGAAGTAAAGGAAAAGGATTTAATGATTGAAATGAATGATTAAAGGACCACTATAGTGCCAGGAAAACATACTAGTTTTCCTGGCACTATAGTGCCCTGAGGGTGCCCCCACCCTCAGGGACCCCCTCCCGCCCGGGGGGAAAGGGTTAAAAACTTACCTTTTTCCAGCGCTGGGCGGGGAGCTCTCCTCCTTCTCTCCTCCTCCTGGCTGAATGCGCACGCGCGGCAAGAGCGCGCATTCAGCCCGTCGCATAGGAAAGCATTTACAATGCTTTCCTATGGACGCTGGCGTGCTCTCACTGTGAAAATCACAGTGAGAAGCACGCAAGCGCGCTTCTAGTGGCTGTCAATGAGACAGCCACTAGAGGATTAGGGGAAGGCTTAACCCATTCATAAACATAGCAGTTTCTCTGAAACTGCTATGTTTATTAAAAATGGGTTAACCCTAGAAGGACCTGGCACCCAGACCACTTCATTAAGCTGAAGTGGTCTGGGTGCCTAGAGTGGTCCTTTAAGGCTGATAGGAGAATGTCTTCAAATTCTTGGGAAATATGAGGGATGGACGTTTCTTGTTTTGTTGTCTAGGAGGAAAGGATCATTTGGAAGGGAAAAACTCAAGGAATTATTACATGAGTAAAAAGAACAAAATTTAATCAACAAAACCGGGACATAAATTTATTCACAGGTAGATTTAGAAACAAATTTACTGCAGAAAGAATGAACTCAAATTAGAACTAAGTTAGTCCCAGACGTATGTCAATGTCTTTTGTCAACTTATAGGCTGCTATTATAGGCAGGTAGTTTGGCGGATCACTCCTGTAAGTGAAATGAGAGGGAGGCTTGGACCGCACACGTTCTACCTGTGGATGGTAGTAACGTGTTGCGGCGCACAGGTGCGAATTCCAATACCCTCCAACCAAGAGGTATTTAAACACGTTTTAAGAACCAGGGGACTTTTTTACATATTCATCCAGTTGAGAAAGCCACACTGAAGTGGCGAAACACGTTCTGGTATAGGGCACATTGCTGCTTATTATTTTATACTTATTTATTCATTGTTTTAATAAATTGAGTTTTTTTACGCTTATTTGGACCCCTGGATTTATCTATTACGGATGGGAGTGCAGTCCCTAACTGCACAATACGTGTGAATTGAGTCATAGGTTTTGACTCCAACCTTGTAAGTACCCACTTGGGAATCTTATTTTACTTTGATTATTTATAAGTGGTACTGCGCAATCGTTTTCCGTTTCTATTCCACCCTCAGGACAAGATCTGTTTCATCTTTTAAATAGGGGAGGATCGCCTAAACGGATCCACATGCGATTTTAACTGGAGCTAGGTCTATAGCTCCCTGTTTGTGAGTGAGCTTTACCATTTATGTTTAATATATTATTCAGTATAGTCTACACTATATTCGATTATTTGTGTTATGGGTATTTGAGTCATCGACTGTTCAAGTTTATCATCCTCTCAATGCTACCAAAAGGTGATAATTTATTGTTCTAAAATATAAGCGCTACATTCTTCTGTTTTTTACATATTCTATTTTGCATGATTGGAAGGTTTTGCCCGAATGTCTAGCAGCTAATTTTTGTTATAATCTATTTATTTGTATATTATTTTTATTTGATATATAAGCGCTGGTTCTTATTTCTATTTTTCTTTTTTGTCAACTTATGTCTCGTTACTAGAGAAGGCCACCAGTTGCCCATGCATGTGTGTGGAATAGAAAAAGTCATTTTCTGGTTGCAAACAATGGATGTTGATGTCCAGCAACTAACTACTCCTTGATGACTTGGATGAGTATTAAGGGTGGCTGGCATCTATGTGTGGACCTGGCAGAGTTGCATGGTAGATGACTGGTTTTGGTATGTGGACAGATTGATGTTGGAGTAGATGGATTATGTTTGGCAGGAGATGAATGACTGTTGAGCGGCAAATCCCAATTTCCTTAAAAAAAATGTATGGACCTTTTCATGTACTTTTCCTAATTCAATACTGCTTATTTATGAAGTGTTGCCCTAGGTTTCTTGATCTGTTCCAAACAATCTTACCATTTATTTATAAGAAGTTTAACCCCTTAAGGACCAAACTTCTGGAATAAAAGGGAATCATGACATGTCACACATGGCATGTGTCCTTAAAGGACCACTATAGCTCCAGGAAAACATACTTGTTTTCCTGGCACTATAGTGCCCTGAGGGTGCCCCCACCCTCAGGGACCCCCTCCCGCCCGGCTCTGGAAGGGGGAAAGGGGTAATAACTTACCTTTTTCCAGCGCTGGAGAGCTCTCCTCCTCCTCTCCCTCCGTCGCGCCGGCTGCGCAGCGCAGGCCTGGCGCCATTCATCTATAGGAAAGCATTTACAATGCTTCCTATGGACGCTGGCGTGCTCTCACTGTGAAAATCACAGTGAGAAGCGCCTCTAGTAGCTGTCAATGAGACAGCCACTAGAGGATTAGGGGGAAGGCTTAACCCATTCATAATTATAGCAGTTTCTCTGAAACTGCTATAATTATGAAAAAAATGGGTTAACCCTAGAAGGACCTGGCACCCAGACCACTTCATTAAGCTGAAGTGGTCTGGGTGCCTAGAGTGGTCCTTTAAGGGGTTACATTTAATTTTCCTTCTTATGTGGAACATCCAGAATTCATATTAGCATTTTATTTAGATATTATAATTGTTATTTGTATCTATATTTGCATTTATACAGTGGCAATATTTTCTACAGAACTGTACTGATGGTTGATCTTTGTTGCTCGGAAATCAATTAAAAGTGATTTCTGTAATGTTTTAGTTTATTTTCTTCTTCGGGATAAAATGCGACATTAATGACATATGACAAGTTGTGATGTTATTATGCTAAGGTTTTTTTTTACTATTTAGCAAAACTGATGAACTAGTGCAAGATGTATTTTCTAAAGGTTTGACTAATTAGTGACATTAACTAGAACTAGCAGACTAGAACTGGAAATGCATTGAAAATATTGACCAGACTCTCTATTCTACTCAGTTGCACTCAACACATTGTTTGGTATATTTACTTCCACGTTAGGCATATCAGTTCCATCCATATTTCAATGTCATCTGGTTGCTGAACCCAATAACTGACACATTCAGCCAATTAATGCCATCCACATTTGGACAGAACTAACATTGTTAATGTGGATGCGGAAAATATGCTAAATGATGAAATAATGAACAGCTCGAGGATTTAACGTTAGCAGCCCTATTCCAAACCTAGCCTAAAGGTAACCAGACACGTTTACTTTTTGGCAATCTTTATTTAATAATTTCAACAAAAGCAAGTTTTTTTAAACACAACCAATCGCAATCTGACGCACTTTTGATGGAAAAAAAATTGTTGTTGGTAGAGGGAGTCCTGGTGCAGAAATTTTGTCCCCATCATCCAACCACTGTGACAGGCTGTCATGTACATCAGATAGCTCAATCCATGCTTTTGGCCAAAGATTGGCATCTACTGGGCTATTGATGTACTGCTTCACTGGAATTTATATTGTATCCACACTTCACTTAGGCTACTTGGGTACTGATTTGCTCTATTTTTGTTTTTGTTTTTTTAAAATTAAAATTAGCAAATTAACCCGGTTCACCCGGAACAAAAATAGGTGATGCTTTACTGCTACCAACGAAGATTTTAGATATTTTATTTCTTTGCCCCTATGGACAGGCCTCTAAAGCTTACTAAACTGAAATGTATACGACTGTATCTGCAAGATTAGAAGATTAATGATTAACTTTCAAAATAGCTTTTTTTGGTTAGTGAAATGTCAACGATATATTATAAAGAAAGATACATTGTTACATGGTATGTAAAATGTCCTTGAACTATGGCTAACTTTCTTAAAGTTGCAGGAGACAGTTTTTTCAAATGAGTCCCTGTACTGTTTTAATCCCTACCAGAAATAAAAGCAGGTATATTTATTGTATATACTAGTCTATCGGATGCCTAGGCATTACATATTTCTATCACTTTGAACAATGTACTACTACTAACAAAGACAGATAAGCAATGAATTAATAATTAGATATTTTGAGGCAAAAAGAATGGAATGTGTTACAAAAGTGTTTTTTTTTAATTTTATTTACTATCTGTATTTTTAATGCATATTCGGTGCTTTGAGTTGTGCTACCAAACTCCTTGTAATAGGCTAGAGTTAACCTATTAAATATAACATATGTTTCATGTTAAATCTCAGTTGTACATCCCATTTGTAGGAACAGTCTGAGCATTCATAATAACATGGTGTTTATATACTGAGGGTCTTCCAGTGTCTAAAGCACATAGTTTACTCTATTCAAACAGAACGGATGAACTTAAGATGAGATGGTTTATATTGTATTTTTCATTCTAGAAATATTTTATTTCTGCATATTATGAAGTTATTTTGACATTAGAACTAATAAAATAAAATATAATTATACTTTTTTACGTTTTACTCTTTTCCCTGTGTGTTTCATTTCTTTTTCATAATTCAAAACTCTCTCCTCCTATATGTAGAGAATTAAATGAATGCCAGTGCTCAAGATCTGATGCCCCCTGATGGCAAGCTATAGGCTCTCATTGACTGACTGAGCTAGGAATTACGTAGAACAGTGAGTTTAACCTTGCTCACTATTATTACTGGTATTAAGGTAGATGTGCATAGACTGAATAGATGAATGTCTGTACAGGTAGATGTGGGCATAGGAGGAATTTAAATTCTTCTTAAAAATGTGAAGAACAAACAGCAGCCCTGTGTAAACACACCAAAGGGCATTATATTACCATCTATATTTATCTGTGATGTGAATTCTTATTAAGGTACCAATTTTATTTGAGTATATATTTTTAGCATGATATATCACACCTACATTGCCTAATGGTTTTGTTTTGTCATCTCAATTTTCCTTTTTTACAGTAATGGTTAATTCCACCCAATATATGATGGATTTCTTCATGCCAAAGCCAATTTCTTACAGTGAATTTAAATATCCAACATTAGCTACTTGAAAAAGTAACTTTCAAGCCAAGACTTTAAAGTTTGATTGTCAGATGCATGAAAAACAAAAATTCTTTAAAGACATAAAGTATATATTTAAAAAAAAACAGCAAACAGTAAGTTTTTATACTTAACTATATTATTTTTCATATTTTCATATACACAAGCACATACAATGCAGGCAGCTAAGAAGAGTTATCTGTATTGCAAATGTGTAAATAACTAGTTTATATTCCTACGGATATACATATATGTGTTGAATATAAAATGAGATAAGCAGGTCATTCTCTTAAAAATAGAGAGAGAGAGAGAGAGAGAGAGAGAGAGAGAGAGAGAGAGAGAGAGAGAGAGAGAGAGTGTGTGTGTGTGTGTGTGTGTGTGTGTGTGTGTGTGTGTGTGTGTGTGTGTGTGTGTGTGTGTGTGTGTGTGTGTGTGTGTGTGTGTGTGTGTGTGTGTGTGTGTGTGTGTGTGTGTGTGTGTGTGTGTGTGTGTGTGTGTGTGTGTGTGTGTGTGTGTGTGTGTGTGTGCTATTAGCAATGGTAAGTAAACAATCCATTCACACAGATAGAAACAATGATACACAGAGTACTGATACAGTGATGCGATACAGAGATTTGTAATATTGCCATTTACTGTTCTATTTTCCTTCCTATTGCATATATTCATAATTCTTAGGAAAAGGCTGAAACATGTGCTGGTCTAACGCTGACATAACACCATCTGTTCGCCTCATTACTATATTAGTTTAGTATACAGGTTATTCCATTAATACATTCAGTTACCCACTGCCCCCTAGACCAGATCCTGCAGTATGCTCTTTCCTGGTCCATTGTAGACTAAATGGGGGGCACAGAGGGGTTCTAATCCCCAACAGCAGGTATCCACACACAGTCTTGTGAAATTCATTCAATCCTCCAGCAATGGCTGCTCAGTCAGACTCTGTGAGACCCTGAGATCCCTGTACAAAACAGACAAAGTAAGTTAAACAGGAAGAGCCTGGGAATCAACAGGAAAGCTTAGAAAAACGGCAGCATCTTCAGAGACGTGGCTCCTGATGTTGTTATGGTTGCATTTCTTGAGGTTCATGATTGGCTCTTATCTGGAATGAAAGACCGTTTGCTCCCCAGATCTCCTGCGTTTAGTTCCATCTGCTTTGCAGTTCAATTCATCCAGCCAGGGCCCCCACCCCCTCTCTCCTCCAAAACCCCTCTCCTTCTCCCATATCAAACTGTCTCTGCCCTCCTTACATACAGCTTGCACCTCCAGCTGCAATGTGGCTTCTCCTCAACTTTCACCAGACCCTTTCTAGTGTTCCAGATGCTGTGACTGATTGCTGTTAGCAAAAAGAAAAATCAGAGAGATCTTTTTACTAGCCAGCCCTGTCATTCTGGCTGTGGCTATCTGCTAAGCAGTGTTACTTGATCACAGGGCTTGACTGACCACCTGTTATTCCATTCTTTTAAATCATTAGATAGACAGCAAAAGCCATGCTGATCAATTCATTATTAAAAGCATATTTTAGGTGATTTTTGTTATATAACAAAGCATACTTTAGTTATATTTGCATGAATAAAAAGTAATATTTACATTTGAATAATGTATGCTCTTGTAGATTTTTTTTATTGTATGTCATAAACATTTGCCTGGCTGGGAATCATGGGAGTTACAGTCCAAAGCTTTTTGAAAGCCAGTGCCCCTAATCCCAAGTTTCTTTTAACCCTCTATCCCCCTCATCCCATAACAACGCTCCCAATGTAGTATATTGTATGCACTGATAAGCTATGCAGGGCACATAAAACAACAAAATAAAAATATTTCCACTCCTCATAAATACATATTTGTTAAATATCGGGGGCAGGTAAATATAATATTCAAAATTCTGAGAAGTGGTAACTCACCTTTAAAACAGCATTTTCAAGATGATATTTAAATTGCATATTAATAAGAACGAGAAAATTATCTAGAACAAATAAAAGCATATGTGCGATAAAAATAATAAAAATAAATTTAAAATAAAATAAACACAATTTTTTGCTATTCTGATAAGTACTTCTTTCCCTAAGGTTTACAAAGTGAGAGTATATGTGCATGCACCAGTGTGGGCATGTGCTTACTGACTTTTAATGAGAGCGCTCTAGAGAGTCCATGGAAGCTCCTGTTGGCTTCCATACAATTGTAAACGTGCATTTCACTAAAGTGAAAACTCCAAGTGAATTAAAAAAAATAAAAGAATGTAAGGCCAACAATGCTTTTAGTTCAGGTTTGTTCTCTGAAACTGCAATGTTTTACTTTTCAGTGTTAAGGGGACAGGAACACTGCACCTAGACAACCTTAATCAGATGAACATTCAACGTACCACGTTTTTACAGAGAGCCAACTTTAGAACAGAAGAAGCCTGACTCCTATTCCGTAGCAATTTCAGCTCTTTTACGACCTATTGATTACAAGGACATCTTCACCTACCTTTCCCTTATGCCATATGTGTTTTGTTAGAATTAAATGTTTGTCTTGTTTACCTATTGAAACACAATATATGAATGGGCTTGAATGGAAGGTGAAGTGACAATATTTTTTTATGCATATTTCCTTCAAAATCACAATGTTTAAGCAGATAAGGCCTTAATCGTGTGTATCAAAGGGTACTAATAAATACCTTCATTTAACATTGTTGCTAAATGTAAATTTATACTACATTATATTACATTAAAACTTGATCCAAAATTAAATCATTTAAAAAGCTTATAGTGTCCCTTTAATGTTCTTAAAGGATCACTATAGGGTCAGAAACACAAACATGTATTCCTGACCCTATAGTGTTAACACCACCATCTAGCCCCCCTGGGCCCCTCATGCCTCCATAAATATAGTAAAAATCTTACTGTATTCAAGCCAGAAACTGTAAATATGCATGCTATTAGACTCAGAAAAACAAGCAGTCTGCTGACATGTGGTAGCCTGATCCAATCACAGTGCTTCCCCATAGGATTGGCTGAGACTGACAAAGAGGCAGATCAGGGGAAGAGCCAGCATGATTCAAGCACAGAATTGAATCAATGAATCTCTATGAGGAAAGTTCAGTGTCTGCATGCAGAGGGAGGAGATACTGAATCACAGGATGCTGTGCACAGTGCTGCCTTGTGCTCTGCTGACAGCAGATCTGAGTAGATGGAGGCATATTATGCCTCCATCAACTCCAAAGTCCCTCTGGTTCACTGAGTGACTGCAACTGGAGGTGTTCCTAGCTTTCAATGTAAATGCTGTATTTTCTCTGAAAATACAGTGTTTACATGAGAAAGGCTACAGGGGGCTATAGTTCTCACCTGAACAACCTCATTAAGCTGAAGTTGTTAAGGATTAACTCGCTAAACAGTGAATTTCAGTGAAATTACAAACCTCAGTATAAATTGTAGTCAAAGTTGGCTATTTTTTCAGAATATGTCAATTTGGCTGTATAGAACATGTGTAACTGGAGCCTGGATATGATCCAGCTGTTGATATAATGGCGTTCTATTTCAGATGCTGCTAGTGAAAATATATGGTATTGCACATTGAAATCTGTGGGACCAAATTACTTAAATTAGAGAGGCCCAGGTTGCAATTGCTCTGCTGTCCAAGCAGGGCAGTGTTCCTGTAATAGCTAAGCTGTGGTGTCTGCGTTAGTACCACGTTGCAGATGTGTAAACATATGGTGGTCACCACAAACAGAATAATGTCCTGGATGCTGGCCAAAGTTACATATTATTTCAGTGTTCCAGCTTCCATCGAATCCATAGCAACTAGCGAACAAAGTCCAAATAAGAGCATGCCTTGGAACAATGTTGCAAAGTTTCAAAAGTAACCACTATGTATTACAGTGTCCAACATTTTTTAATAAGTGTTTCAATATTTGACAATTTGATAACCCGCCGAGGATTCCAAAAGTCCATGTAAATAAAATTAAATAAAACGTGTTAGTGCCTTATTAATGCATACAATACAATTCTCTAACTTTCGACTGGTGATGACATGAAACAAATGGATGTCAGAGAAGAAAATAAAGCAATGTTGATAAAAATGTATTTTATGTTTTTGTGGGGGTTTTATTGTAGGCACACAGATATAGTTTCTCCTATGGCAGCAGTTTCACTAAAGAAAGAAAAATAAATAATAATATATTCTACCAAAAAACACTATCTTCATGGCTACTGTCTGCATACTACTCCGAAGGGTGGTGGCTAGTCTCCAAAGAGGACGTAGCTGACAGTTCTAAGGAATAAGTCATATTCCTTTCGCTATAAATGAAGCAGACTAGAATCAGTCTAGAAACAAATTCCATATTTTCAACAAAATATAAAAACAACAGAAAACTGTTTGATGCCTTTTCTCTTTTATTCTGGAATTTAAAAAAAAAAATTTACACACCTATTCAGTTGTAAATCCTGTCCTAAATGTATTACTTCATATAATGCTAATTTTAACCCTATCTTTAACCCACAAGGATAGGACTGTAAATATAAAAGTAGCCCTAACTTATTAACTAAATCTATTTTTATTAAAGGACCTCATTGAGCAGCCCTACTTCAGTCAAGGTGTGTGTGGGTTTCCAACATATCATGTTACTTTCTACAGAGAACCAACTTTAGAACAGAAGAAGAATACTTCATATCCCATTGTACAGAGCTACGGAATTTGCTGGCGCTATATAAATAATAAAATAATAATAATAATATTCCCTAGCAGTTTCAGTTAGGGATGTGCATGGGCAAAAAATTTGGTATGGTTTGGCACTTCCGAAATTCAGGACTTTGGCAATTCGGGACTTAGGCAATTCGGCTCTTCTGCACTTCTGTTCGGCACTTCCGAAATTCGGGACTTCAGCAATTCAGCATTTCGGGTCGGTTTCGGTTCGGTCCAAAATTCGAGAATTCGGGACTTTGACACTTCGGGAATTCAGCACTTCAGCAATTCGGACATTCGGAAGCATCCGAATGTCCGAATTGCCAAAATTCGTCTGAATTTAAATTCGGACCGAAACGAATTGCACATGTCTAGTTTCAGTTCTTTTACTGGCCTATTGATTACATGGCCATCTTCACCTACCTTTCCCGTATGCCATACGTGTTTTGTTTGAATTAAATGTTTATCTTGTTTACCTGTTGAAACACAATATAGGAAAGGGCTTGAACAGAAGGTGAAGTTACAATATTTTTTTATGCAGATTTCCTTCAAAATCACAATGTTTAAGCAGATAAGGCCAACACTTTTGCATCAATTGGAAATGAAATGGGTTTTTTACTTAAAAACCCTAACAACTACTGGTCTTAGTGCGGACTTTGACCTATATACATTTTTATAGCTCCCTTCCTCTTGCTCCCTTTACTATGATTTATTATTTTCATGATTTATTATTTTTGTATTTTAGCTCTCACCTTTTTTTTATTTTTTATTATTTTTTATTTTTATTTATATAAATAATAAATTTTATTGTATACGTACTGTCAACATATGTCAATCTCTGCAATGTGCCACTTTAAGAAAGTTGAGATTCTATATTTATCAGATTATACACTGCTCAAAAAAATAAAGGGAACACAAAAATAACACATCCTAGATCTGAATTAATTAAATATTCTTCTGAAATACTTTGTTCTTTACATAGTTGAATGTGCTGACAACAAAATCACACAAAAAATATAAAATGGAAATCATAATTTTCAACCTATGGAGGTCTGGATTTGGAGTCACACTCAAAATTAAAGTGGAAAAACACACTTCAGGCTGATCCAACTTTGATGTAATGTCCTTAAAACAAGTCAAAATGAGGCTCAGTAGTGTGTGTGGCCTCCATGTGCCTGTATGACCTCCCTACAATGCCTGTGCATGCTCCTGATGAGGTGGCGGATGGTCTCCTGAGGGATCTCCTCCCAGACCTGGACTAAAGCATCAGCCAACTCCTGGACAGTCTGTGGTGCAACGTGACGTTGGTGGATGGAGCGAGACATGATGTCCCAGATGTGCTCAATTGGATTCAGGTCTGGGGAACGGGTGGGCCAGTCCATAGCATCAATGCCTTCATCTTGCAGGAACTGCTGACACACTCCAGCCACATGAGGTCTAGCATTGCCTTGCATTAGGAGGAACCCAGGGCCACCGCACCAGCATATGGTCTCACAAGGGGTCTGAGGATCTCATCTCGGTACCTAATGGCAGTCAGGCTACTTCTGGCGAGCACATGGAGGGCTGTGCATCC